GAGGGGTAGCCCTGGTGGTGTTTCCTCAGCTGGTTGGGGGCATTGGGTGGGTGGTGACGGGAGGAGTACGGCAGGCGGGGAAGAGGCGTTTGTGAATGTGTGTGTGTGTGGGGTTATATTGTGTGTGGGGGGGGGGGGGATTGACGACACAGGTTGGAGAATAAATAACACTATCCAATGGTTTACAATGTGTTTACAAGGGAATGTGTGTGTATGTGTGGATGTGTGTGACTCAACTTCCGATTTCTCAGCGTGTGTTCAGCCCCAGGAACACCCTTTCGGTATTCCGTACTGACAACCGTACGGCTAGTACGGCAAGGAAAGCACACTACGCGCAACATCTTCCCCAAACATCCCCAAACCTTATCTGTCCAGGGGGGCCGCCGAAACGGCCTCGTGAGATGATGCTGGGAATGCGCTATGGCGCGTGTAAATGTATTGTTAGCGTGTGCCGTACTGTACGGCAGTTACGACACACGCCACCGCTCCCCCCCGTACGTTCCTTTCAACCAGGTCCGAGATTGGATCGTACCGACCAACCGCCGGTATCCGTTAGAACAACTGCTGGGCGTACTGCGGGAGGCCTTCCCGTACGACAAACGCAAGGTGCAGTACAGCATACAGGAGTTTGTAAAGGCTGGAATGGATCGGTTGGTTCTTGGCCTTTTCACCGCTGTCCTTCCAACCACTTACCAACCACCTTCCTAACCACCGCCTGGGCTCCTTCCTGTTCGACCCCGTATGGCTCTGTGACATACATACATACTCCCGACCCTTGCGCTGTGTTTCGGCTTCGGCCCCCGGCTCTCGCGGCCCACAGTGTAATCTAAGTCATACATACATACATGCGCCTTCCCCACCACCAGGGCGATAACTTTGTGGTCATCGAGTACGTGCTGTTGGCGGGAGTGAACGACAGTACGGAAGATGCGAAGCGGCTTCTGAACCTCACGAACGACATTTACTGCTTGGTCAACCTCATTGTCTTCAACCCGCACACGGGCACGCAGTTCAGCAGGTGTGTACGTATGTATGCATGTATGGGGGGGCCCCCGGGGGGGAGAGGGGATGGCCGGGTTTGGGTGCAGGGGAGGGGAAATTGTAGGGGAGGTGTTCAGGATTTCTTGGTCTGGCTTCGTCTTCCAAATCATACGTTACACAATATGAGCTAAATCGTTTTATAATCTAGATGGGGAATATTCTTGGTTTGACACAGCATTAGCCGAGAATGTGGAACGAATTTTGACCCTATTTTATTTCAGTATTTAGGATGAAAAATGTCTTTAAGGTTGATGATGATATTCAGAAGATCCCCTTTGGAAGATCCCCTCTGGTGCTCTCTGGCATTACTGCCCTCATTTATCATCACCACCATCATCGTCATTCCCCCTGCTCCCGCCCCCGCCCCCGCCCCCCCCCCCCCCCC